CTTAGTCATTTAATGCAGATTAAAATTGCTCTTTACACTAAATCAATCAGATGAATAGTTTTTGAGATATCGTTGTTAGAAGTAATTAGTAGCGAAACATTTTTAATGCTTGGCGAGCATTGAGATGCCTACGGCGAGTCCATCCCCTCTGCCCCGCATCGCTCGACCGCCTGCTCAAGCTATATAAACCGGGCGATGTAGCGCGCGATCCTAGGATACTTTTTACCGCGGGAAAATATCTTATTTCTGAGGAAAAATACAAAAACTGCAATGTAAGAGTATACTAATATGTAACACCTAAGAATTTAGTTTTTGGTCATCTGAACGCGGGCGGAGCCGCGGGCAATGCTAGTATAATATAATGTACTTCCAGTACAATTCTTGATACTAATTCAAATCACTGTTATGTAATTTTACTACAGAAATGGTCAAGTGATGCTTCTAACAATTGCTTGCAGCTCTTTGTCATTTCAAAGCAGACTATTCATGAAGTATCATTAATTCATTTACTTCGAACTAAAATGATCCTAATGTACAACTCGTAAGCGTTATATTGTCATAATTCATACCATCTTGATATATCGCACGAGCTTTTATTTATTTGACCGTAATAGGATGGAGCTCTGAGTGTAATTGACATTTAATAAATGCAATGGTTACGAAATAAGGATTGAATTGCCTATAATAGTAGGGGAGCCCAAGAGGGGATTTTCTGTAGTTACTCGAGCGCGGCAGATTATCATAAAAGAGGTTACCTTGCACTCTATTGAGTACTTTCACCATAATATAAGTCTTCTATATAAAGGGGCGCGTCTAGGGAAGCCGATTAAAATATTTAAAAAATGTTTTGATAAGGTTGAAACCGTCAGATTAAGGTGTGGTAGGCTAGTCACATCCTGAAAAGTGTCCAATTCAATAATCTGCCGATTTGCACAAGCCGAAGAGGCAAAAATCGACTATAAAGTTTATGATGATTTTTGCCTCTTAGGCTTGTGCAAATCGGCAGATTATTAAATTGGACACTTTTCAGGATGTGACTAGCCTATCACACCTTAATCTGACGGTTTCAAGTATTTTTACCTTATCAAAACATTTTTTAAATATTTTAATCGGCTTCCCTAGACGCGCCCCTTTATATAGAAGACTTATATTGTGGTGAAAGTACTCAATAGAGTGCAAGGTAACCTCTTTTATGTTAATCTGCCGCGCTCGAGTAACTACAGAAAATCCCCTCTTGGGCTCCCCTACTATAAAATAAAATAAACTATTTATTTTATTTTTGATTTGTCTGCATAGTATTATGAAATTGTACTTACGACATTGTACGACAACATTCATTCTTATCACCATAATCCTTTTATTTCGATTGTTTACAAAAAAAACAATAACTAAACCGTCGTCGCGACTTTTTTATCTAGCCTTTGAGTGTTAATAAACACCTGTAAAACAATAAAAAAATTTAGCTCCTGTAAAGAACGAACCCGTTATATTGTTAATGCTCACTGCCCCAAGACGATATTATAATTATAATTTTCTTTAACTACGGTGTAGTTGAGGGATGTAGAATAAGGCGAACAAGCTATTATAGCGAGAACATTTAGGTACTAACTTCTGTTGCAACTCGCACCTGTCTCAGATTAAAATAATTATGGAATGGAACTTAATTCACGTTGGTTATCTTTACATTAATTCATAATTTACTGCTATCTTTATTGTGTACATTTATTTTTAATTTTATTACTGCATTTAAGAACACGGTTGGTTAGTATTTCGTAAATGTTATCAATTGAATGACCATAGTAAAAATATTTAGGTTTATTTTGGACGTTGTAGTTGTAATTTAAATTTTTTTAGTCCGACAAACTTTCAAAACCTTCGCCCACGAATCAAAGAGCAATTATTGTAAGCGTTAAAATGAATTCTCAAAGAAAGTTGATCAAAAAGAACTTTAAATATAAATGCGATGTCATTTCCGTCCGGTTTTAACAATCGCCGGAATTATGCGTGATTGATGTAACTCTATACTGTCTAGCTTTGTTTATTACAATTATAATTATAAAAATATATTATTAGTTAATTCTTTTTAAATGGGAAGTAAATATTATTTTATATGCGCAAATAAGTTTGATTGGTTTGTTAAGTACCCGTGTTTTATGTATGAAACCTCTGTATTTAAAAAATAATTAAATACAGCCAGTGTTTAATTATTTTTTTTATGTTAAGTAGAAGAAAAAAAACGTTTTATGAAGATTTTTACTACACCACTGTGTTTGAATGAGCTATAAATCATTAATTAATTATGTAGTGCACTAAAAGGAATAATTGCTAGTAATTTAGGGTTGTAGCGTCAAGTATTAGCACGTTTGCTAATTGAAGTACTGTGCGTCCTAGTGAAGCAGTTTCGCGTTATCATTTATTTCTGGTTGTTTATTTAAGTTTATTGACACAATCTCTACTTTTACAATAGAGTAGAGAAGAGAATAGAGAGCTCGGAGCCTGAGGAAGATACAAACTTTTTACTTAATATTGAAGAACATTAGTCTGTAAAAACTTACATAAGGACGCTCAGTTATAATATTATTACATAATCTGTGTATAATGTATGTATGTACCTACGATAGATAGTGACAATATAGGTTTTCGTGATATGCATAAATATATGTATTGTACATGCGCAATACATGCGTCATATTGGAAACGGATATCATATACCGCGACCAGTCGGTATCAATCAAACGTTGATCGATTGTTTGTTACCGAGTAGTGGTACGAACGAGTGTCCGATTATAGCAATCTTTTGTATTTATTTACTAACTATAATTGAATGCTCGCTAGTTTAATTCGCCTATCACTTCAAAGAGTAGGTTCGTATGTTTCTTTTTTTGGATTTTCAGGTTTTTTTTTAAATTAAAAATTCTATCCATAACGGTGGGTTAGTTGGTTTTAAAGTTATTTTAAAGTTTTCCCTCTTTAAGTAAAATTAATTACTATCCATAGTACATATAATAAAATTCTGAGTCGAATCTGTACGTTAATATATTTATATATTTTTTGGAAAATCCTATTGAAATAGTCAATATCATCGACACAGAGACCGGATCTATAATTTTAAGAATTTTTGTCCGTCTTAGAACACTACATGAGAAAACTACTGGACAGATTTTGATGAAATTTGGTATGATGATGGCTGGTTATCCGGGTCCACATTGAGGATATTTCTTACTGCGGGAAAATATCCTATCTCTAAAAATCTATATTATCCGTTAAACATACCAAGGGACGAACCTGAGCAGAACGAGGATGAGTCACTAGTATTAAATAATTTGCTACTAATTGAAAAAAAATACGTGTTTTCGCCAATAATGTTATTCGCAACTACAAGTTTCTAATAAGATACGACTAAAACAAATAATTTATATATAAGAACTAAAAGTATATAATATAGACGAAAATTATTAACATATGATAAATAAACTTCTCTATGTAGGTAATAAATTTTAATCGTCTAGAATCTAGATGGAATGGTTTTCTCATAATAACATGTATGCGCAATGCGCATGCGTCCTATACAATCGGAAACGGATGTCATGTCCATTCGCACACAAACGTATATTTTAACGGCAATTTTTACTAATAAAAGATGACATAACTATCTAATATAAAATACTGTATATATATTAAATAGAATAATCGATATATACATATATATTTATATATATATATATATATATATATATATATATGCGTATGTATGTTCTCTATGGACTTCAAAACGGCTGGAGCGATTTTGATGGGTGAAGCCGCGGGTACTTAAATAAAGGATTCGGTACCAATTCAGTATCTTGTTTGAGTATGCGCTAATCTGTGAACATAGCTTAATCAAAGATAAAATTATATGTAGTTTAAACTTCACAGCGTACTTGTATTTGTTTAACGGTGGCTAAATTTTACTTGCTTTAATTTTGATAAATATTGTGAAAAGTGTATTTTAAGATTGATTACGGCCTATCGCTAGTTGGTTCCGCTCGGTGTATTATTTCGGCCAACTACGTGTATATAATAATAGATAGATTCTAACCTGAACCAATGTTACGTTTAATAATCTGCTGTTTTGCGCGTTTTATTTTTATTCTAACTTGTAATATTAATGTAATTCATATAAAATAAATTATCAAGTATATTTTACTAATGTTGAGTTATGTAATACGTAAAGTGTAGCCATTGTTTTGTACAAAACTATTTTGGTATTATATGCAATACTTGTTTTGTTAACGACTTCGCAGGGTAAGCGATAAGTGGTATCTTAATTCCTATGTCCATCTCCATGATGCAGTTTATGTCTTCGCCAAATTACATCGATATCTGTACGTGTGTTTAAAGCGTGAAGAACAGACAGTAACTTTCGCCTTTTAATATATTAAACTGCAACTTAATCGTACTTTGACGAATTGTTAAATTGTTATTATTAATGGTAGCTTGAACTGTGCAATATTTTCATATTGACTGTCTGTTCATCAACAGGAAAACAGAAAATGAATATCATATTAATTTATATTATTCTTATTTTCTGTGTAGATAATATTATGGGTTTCGAATTGCCTGCAGGCTGCAATATAATGATTATTATCTAATATCTATACAGATAAATAAAATTGAAGTGTCTGTTTGTAATATCAAAATAACAGCTCTTTACTAAATGCATATGAAATCATATACGGTACTTGTAAGAAAAACACAATTTTTAACATTTTTGTCTCTCTGTCTGTCTGTTTGTTCCGGCTAATCTCCGAAACGGCTGGACAGATTTTGACGGGTCTTTCACTGGCAGATAGCTGATATTACAAGACTTACTTTTATTAACGTAACTTTTATTTTAGAAAAAGAATTAGGATTCCAAAAAAAATAACATTTAATTTAACATTATATCCCTTATTCTGTGGTTTTAATTTCCCTTAAATAAAATTGTTTATGTATATGCTTATATATTTTTTTTGTTTCAGGTAATTACAACAAAGCGGAATAACATGATGTAAGGCATAAAAATAATGTTTGTGATAGTCTATGTTCTCTAAAAGCTTTATAATAACATCATATTCTCTACATATCTGGTATTTTTTATTTAATTCAATTTATGCACTTACTATATACTTGCTAATATAAATCGTTCTAATAAGCACATAATATTTTATAAGTATTTATTATAAAAGGAGTGGAACGATATTTGTATCATTCAGAAAATACTGAGTCTTTTTATTAGTACAAAAAATTTGTAAGTGTTACTGTAAATATACGTACCCGTTTTCCAATACCAATTGAAGCAATAGCGATCACAGATGTGAGATGAGACAAGTAGTTTAATAAATAAATATAAATAAACTTAGTTTGTATTTATTTCATCACATCATGAATAGTGCAATTAATAGCCATTAGATATTGTTTAACATATATGGTTATAAAAAATATAAGTTAACTTTCACTGGCTGGCGATAGCTTCTTTAATTTGTTGTAATAGACACTTCAGTTAGAGTAAAAAAAATAAAAAATGAGCTTGACAGCATTCAAAAATATATTATAGAGTTTTATTTTAGCCAACAGTAAATTAATAGTACGTGCAAAATACAGATATACCTAAACTTTTTAAGGTCATGGCCTCTGCCTACGTTTTGCAGTGTAATAAAGTGTTTATCTAACTTTTATATCTCAAGTTATGTCCAGACTCGACTTTGTCTAGACTTGGCGCAGTTATCTCATAATGGCTAATCAGATCTTATAATCTTCTAGTCTGCATTTAAAAATAAGAAAAAAAAAGCTTTAAGACTTCAGAATTTGTATTATAAATGTCAATTACTTTTCTCTTTAGACCAAAGAAAAAGTGTTATCAAAATTAGGCATAGCTTTTCTATAATATTTGAGATAAGGCGGTATTTTTAATATTTTAGTTTTAAGGAGTTAAATATCTATTTTTTTTATTTAGTTATTACATTATTATCACTCATTTTTATTTTAATAATTAATACTAACAAGGCAATTGCAATTACATAAAATTAACGGAAAACAAAAATAAACCTATTCCACGGGAATTGTACATTTTTCCGGGATAAAAAGTAGCCTATATATTATTCCAGACTATAATCTATCTCTGTGCCAAATTTCATCCAGATCCGTTCAGTTGTTCTGGCGTGAAAGAGTAACAAACATCCATACTTACAAACTTTCACGTTTATAATATTAGTAGGTATAGATTCTAAATTTTTATAAACTTTTTGGTTGATTTTAAAATATAGTTTATTCATTTTGTATGTGATTTATTTGCACGATCTAAATTTTTAGATCGGAGACCCACTTTACAGTGTTGTATGAGGCGTGCGTTTGCGCAACCATTGCATGACATTTTGACGGACAGGAATAGTAGTAACGGCCCAATTCTACGCCCCCTGTTTAAGCTATACTATAATTTGCAAACATATTATATTATGTTATCTTTATCATTTAATGGGTTGTATTATCAAAAACAAATAAACAAAACGGTCTCAGAAGAGTCTACTTATTCAAGAATATTTAACCGTACTTACTTACTATCCTATAGTTTAAAGTAGCTTTATGAACATGATAATGTCAGAGTTAAAAACTCGGGTTTGAACCCATTTTATTTATTTTTTAAGCAAGCGCGGTATCAATTTGCTACCACTACTAATGATATAACACTATGAAATAATACCTACATACCATTCTATACAGTTCAATAAACACCTTTATAAGTTCTAATGCAGCTTAAAAGAGCTTTAAAGGTTGCAAATTGACCTTATTGCAAAAAGTTCCCTCGGCAGTTAATCATTTGAAAAGAAACGTTATATCCAACTATTCAATCTGACCCGTTTTGTCTCTAATGAGGCTTTAATCTTCTTTGAACTATCTTTAGAGCTTAATATAAAGTCATTTTCCATTTGCCCCTCTCACGTATTCTTTGTTTTATGATTGATAAAAATCATTTTAACAGTTGTTTTTGTAATAATTTTTTTTTTCAAAGTTTATTATTATTCACTATATTATGTTTTTATAAAGCATAATTTACATTTTAACTATAAATAATAAAGCATTAGTTATGTATGTAGTTAGTACGCTGTACGATTCCTAAAACCTGTTAAATTTTATTAAGCTCTCGCTACCATGTATGTATTCTTTGCGAAATTAAATTAGACGAGAGAGTTTATCCACTCACTAAATTTCCCGCGTGGAATCATGAAATTTGCTTTACATTTTTCGCAAAGCCTAATATTATGTGGGATGCCACGTAATTAAATGTGTCAGTAACACTATAAAAAGCTTGGCGTATAAGTGATGTCAATCAGTGTATGTCAGCTTTGCGATTTTACATGGTAATGATCTTCTGTTAAATAATAAGTGATTTACCGCTTTGTCACTGTAGTTAATTTATAAACACTAAATGTTTTATTCATTAGTTAATGATATTAAGTAAACGATTTTATATGTTTCTATAATGATATTTTTACCTTATCTGGCGTTGTGGTTTTTGTAAATACAATATACCGCTAAATTTAATTGATTAGTTAGTGCTGACAGCTTTAAAATAGCAAATATTTTTTTAATCTCTGTAACGTACAAAAATATCTGAAGAGTCTTTACAATTTGTTTGAACTTCATGCTTTCATTTAAATTATAACCTTTCACCAACATATCTCACTTCACAGCTAGAAATCTTGCGGCAAGGATTCTATTTCCACCGTACTGCTTTCATAACCGCAAGAAGATTTTCACAAACAATGCCGAGCTCGTTGAACATCTCATGTGCATAACTCATTGAGGTGCAAATGAAGATGCTCTTGTGTCGCCTAAGGTGACAATTCTGTAATATCACGGTAACGTTTATATATAATAACATTACCGTGGTAATGGCGTTTTTTACTAAAATTGTTACGCTATAGTAAACATTTTATTTTTATATAAGTATATTGTTTGATTAAAGTATATTTCGGTTTGATTTGAATACTTCGTTTAATACAAAACATTTTTAATTCAGTAAGCAGACAGTCAAAGAACAAGTTTACTTTGGATCTTATCTCTGTTTAAATTACCTTTTTTATTTGCATTATCATATTACTAGCAGAACCCGCGTTAAACCTATAAAAAAAACTCTAAAATGATAGGTTTCATACAAACTTTCATGCGCTATTTTACCCACTTATGAAATGAATTTCGAAAAATGCTAAAACATGTGTTTAATTATTTGTATTTGAGAATATTTATATTAAGTTTCAAGTAATTTTGATCATATTTTTTTGTTGTATTGTATTATAAAGTGTGTTCCCGTGGGATAGACATAATCTCCCGCGGTAAAAAGTATGTAGTAGCCTATGTCACTCTCCAGCCCTCCATCTACCTCTATACAAAAATCAGGCCAATCCGCCAAGCAGTTTCGTCGTGAAAGAAAGACAAACAAACACACTTTCACATTTATAATATTAGTATGGATTATTATCGCATTATTATTTTATTTGCATTATCATACTATACATTTTAATTATACATACCTACCTATTAGCAAGGAAAGCTTTTTGAATAGTTTGTGAAGTCATGTTGTTGAATAACTAGTTAATGTTTAATTTTTTTTAAATTAAAAATTGCTTTTTATGGTAAATGCTTTTTATATGGACATAATGGATACAGTCCTTAATATGAAGTAATTAATGCCAATTCAAAACTTCATTGTATTACCATGAAGTTAACCATCATGACATCATATCATACCATCATCTATCTGCATTGAAATATTTGACACAGCTATTCTACCAATTGTGATTTACATCGCTATGTGTTCCATTATCTCAATCTAAATTACAGACTCAATCTAAATAAATTTATAAACATGATAATAATCATTACAATAGTTAGGAATTTTAAGGTCTTATATTTTAAGACAGGTTTCCCAAGCATGTAGGTAGGTACCTATGTACGTACTTGTAAGTATTAGAACTTATCGTTGATTTAGCTTCAAGGCTTTGTCGTCTTTCTTGTCCCACTATTTCTCTGTGCAGGTAACAGTACCAAGTATAGTGACACCTTTATTTTAAACTGATGATGTTCTGGATAGTAATTTCTAACTCTGCGTTTAGCCTTATGCAATCTTTACCAGACTAATACATTTTAATACGTGCTAGAGTCATAGGATAGACAGTGCGCGCATAGACACCGAACCTGTGACCTGTATGTTAGAACGAAAAAAAGTAACTATTTTTTAATACATATTATAAAATATCAAAAGGTATTCTTTTTAAATTTAAATACTAAAACCTATGTTGTGTTGCTCTATTCATTACGAATGTCACCGCGAACATAATAAATGTGACATCGAGAACAATTATTTATTTATGTTAATAAGGGAAATTGCCTTCGTTTATAATGGTACAATCGTGAGAAAAGGAAATTATATTTCAACTAGTTTTTGTGGTAAATGCAATATGTGACCTTATGGTTATAACAAAATTGATAGCTACTATGTAATGTTTTATCTTAGAATTAAGACACAAGACGTAAAGTTTAGAAAAGTCATCCAATAAACTGACAGAATTTATATTACGATCAAATAAACATTTTATTAATTGAAATTCTAGAAAAAAGCAATCAAAATTGCTAGTATAACTTGATTTTATATCTCTATTGAATAATAATAAATTTTTTAGCATCTCCAATTTAGGAGTCAACAACCGATAAAAAAACTTATGACAAGCATATTATGTAGACGAAGCCCTATCAAAAGTTCTCGAGACCTGGCGGTTTCAAGAACTCTTTGTTTAGAGGGAATGAAAATTGTAAAGGTACATACAATTAGTGCTCCATCGTGCAGGACAATTTATTTTGAATGCCGTTTTACATGGTAGCTTCGTACAAGGCTTGTTATGTAGTTTGCATAAGAGTTCTTTTTTGTTAGATTGTCATATTATTTTTACCTGTTACTAGGCATTTGTCGAGGCTTTGTCCTCAAAGGAGTATAAAATGATGATGATTATGAGAA